ACAGTGGTCTCTGTACACCAGCAGTCTAGCCACTGTCAAGGTTATTGTGGACATCACAGAAAATGAGAGTTCTAAGAAAGGATCTGAAGGAAACTGATGAGTGAATTTTGCAGATGTTCAAGAGGAGCTCTTCCCAAATGTGAGGTAAAGCATGGGAGAAAGCATGAAGGTGCTTGTTCGAAATTTTAACAAGTGGGCAATGGAGGCTGGCATCACGGACCAAACAACGGTAAAGGTCAACATCTTGATAGAGAGAGTGGGGACAGGCTATGAAGTACCTTGAAAGTGAAGACAAGTAGCGTACATCTGATGTGATAAAGAGTGGGGAGTCAGTGGAGGAATGCAAAGAGAGTGAGACATGGTCAAAGCAAAAAGGCTAGAAAAACGATGTTTGCAGAAACTTTCGGAATGGTTATCAGTGGGACAAAACTGCATTAGCCAACGCCAGATAAAACGATGTTACAGTAGTCGATATGAAAGATGATGACAGCTTGGATAAGAGTTTTATCTGATAGGGTGGACAGGAAAAGCCATATCCTAGATATGTAATGCACAAAGAAGCTGCAAGATTTAGACACAAACATGTGTAAGGGCCTAGAGAGAGGTTTGAATCAAAGATGATGTCCAGGTTAGGGGCGTGAGTGACAGTCAGGATGGTGGCATTGTCCAGTGATCTAGAAAGGAGGTAATAAGGGAGGGCTGAGGAGGAAAGATTAAGAACTCTGTTTTAGCCATGTTGAGCTTGAGTTTGTGGCTAAACATCCACAAGGAGATTTTAGTGAGACAGGCCATGTCCATTTGGCCTGACAGGATTGCCTCGTGGAGTCCTTTTAGCTACTGGAAAGGACGTTTGGCACTGCTAATTCACATTACCGTGCTAACAGAGGTGCCCATCCAAAAACCATGCTGTCAGGTGTAACGTCCATAGATCTGAATGCCTGAGTCTGCCATAGTGTTGTGTCAGCAGTTACCAGAAACATCTGGAGCAGAAGTGAAGATTGTTTCAACATGCGGAGAAGAAGGGGGAACCAGAACTGGTGAAGACAGAACACAGTTCATGGAGGAAGTTGCAGGGGGGAAGGGATGCGACCAGAGCATTGGGTAGTGGTGTTGCTGTTTTGTCCGCTCCAACGCAGCCTGTATTACCCAGGAGTTAGGTGGAGGGTGTGAAAATAAAATTTCTGAACCTTTGGGGGACGTAATATCTTTTGTTGGCCCACTTAAGAGTCAGTGCACATGTGGCCGGGGTATGCCACTCGCTGCATGCCAGTTGAAGAATGGCATCATTGTTCTGGTGCCGATGCACGCAGAATGTCTAGTAGCTGGTTCTGACTGTCCTGCACCTCTTCCAATGGCATCTCGATATTCTACAAAGGAGTTCTTGAAAATGATGATAGTCATCTGAGGGGCAGGAAGATGTCTATGATACGGAAGGGAATCTCTCTGGATCTGCTGGTACCATCAGAGCCCGGCTGACTGGAGCATCATCTAACCCCATTTCCAAATGTCTACCCCCTTGTACATCGGCAGAGCCCTGCCCTGACCGTGGAGCCTCCTTCCAGATACTCATGAAGGACGGGTCGGTGACACGGGAGTTCTCCCAAGCTGAAAGAGACTGCTCTGAAGGCAAATACTGGGGCCGTAAGCTCCAATATGACCAATCCAGTTGATACTGCTGTTTTTGTACTTGTACTCAAGGAGTCAGATAATCAGCTTCTTGGGTAAGGCAAAGGAGGAAACTGTCATGGAGCCGTTGGAACCCTCTGGTAGTCATGTTTCTCTGGAAGTGGTGGACTGTGCTGAACATCTGGGTTCTTGGATTCAGATGAGTTGGACTTTTGCATGAATGGCAGTGCTGATGGAGCCCCTGGAATGGAATGCGTTAGAGAGGCATGGCCAGCAAGAGGTAGATGTAATGCAGGAGATGGAGCCCACTGCACTGGTGAGTGCGCCTGGACATGCATAGACCTCGCTCCTTCCAGGGATAACAGTTTGTGAGGGCCGCTTCTCCCTGGAGTCAATGGAAGGCGGTCTACTGATGGGATCGGAACCAGTAAAGACACCTGTCTCAGGACTGACGAATCACGGGGTCTGTAACACCGGTACCAGAGTATCTGGAAGGAGGCTCCACGGTCAGGGCAGGGCTCTGCCGATGTACAAGGGGGATTTCCCAGCCAGGATCCAACTTGGGGCCATGGCTACCTCCATGAGATGCTTCTTGAGGAGAAAAGCTTGGCCTTCCCATGTATGGGCAGGGAAAGAGAGGAAGATACTTTATCTGGAGGCATTGTGGGCTTCCCCCAAACAGTGCAAACAGCATTGGTGTTCATTGCCGATGGAAAAGGAGCACGGGCAGGAAGCACAGACTTGGAATCCTGGCATCTTTGGCATAATCCAGTACCCAGACATGGGGGCTGGGAATGTTTGGCAGGAAAATGCATCCCAATTCCTCAATTATAAAAACTGATAGAAATTACCAAAGTACAACAAAAAACAATAAAATCTTAACTATGAACAAAAATAAGAACATTTTTTGTAAAAAAAAAAAAAAATTAAAAAATTAAAAAAAAATTGAAATATGTCACTAAGAACGACAGGTCAGCGGAAGCTCCAACTTGGACCATGCAGCAGTGAGAAGGAACTAGAGAAGTGGCCAGTCCACCCTGCCCTTTATCGCCTCGGGCAAAACTATGAGGAAATACAAGGGCACCTGACTGGACCACCAAGCAATACTACTTTGAAAAGCTCTAGGCACATGCACGTAACCCTCAGTGCAATACAGTAGTGACCATCACTCAAAGAAGAAGTCAGATATTTCAGATGAAGAGAGAGATATATACAGAAATGTAGACTATCATCCTTTAAAACAGGTTTTGCAATCAAAGGGAGAATTTTAATATGCCAACATCAAAACAATGATTGTTCTGAAACCAAACCTGTACTAAGGAATGATAATATCTAGTTTATAATCATACTGTTCCTCCAAATTGGCAGTCTTTTAGCAAGATGTCTGGTTCCAACATCACATTCAGAAATGCTAAATGTTAAATACACATTACAGTTTATATATGTGGAGAGAATAGTGTTTCAAATTTCTTTTAAAACTAAAATATGGCTTATTGCTTTGGATTATAAATCAGTGCATTAAACTATATGTTCCTTACATTTGATTAAATAACTATACGTACCAACTCCTTTTATTGTCAAAAAACAAAACTAAGAAAAGCCTCTCATCAGATTTGGTCTGCATTTGTTCTCCAATTTTCAATACATCTAGAGGTGGAACTGGTATTGTAACACCATTGTGATGACCGGCAACACGAGGCATCTTAGGGTCAATAATCTACAAAATGGAAAAAAAAGAACAGTTCCTAATTTTTTTAAATCTGTGTTCACTAATAGTTAAAGGTTTTTTTATCATGAATGTATTTAATGGGAAAATACTATACAAATCAAACAGCCAATGTGTATAAACTTAGGCCTTGTCAACACAAACTTGTACTGATTTAATTAAACAATCTTATTTTGGTTTAGCTTAAATCTGTTCCTCAACAGTTTTAAGTTAAACTGAAATAAACCTGGTTTAAAGCAAAATAAGAGTGTCCACAATGCATTTTAAACCTCTTTTAATTAAACCAGTTTAAAATCATGTCTTAACTGGTGCCATGCTCCATGTAGAAAAGCCCTTAGAGATCACAAATTCAGAGCGCTCAAATACAATTGACAAATTCACAAATAAGTTTAGAAACACAGGCCAATTTTTTAAATGCAATTAGTGATATTTGATACATCAAGCTTTGGTGTCCAACTGACACACCTAAAAGGAGGCCTGATTTTCAGAATGTGGGTGATTTGACAATTTCTGAAAATTAGGCCACTTTAAAGATGTCTCAGGTTGGGCACCCTAAAACTGAGACAAAGTTGACTCAAAAATCAGTAGTTGCATTTGAAAACCTTGGCTATTGGTTTATGATGCCTGATCAGCCTGTCTGTCTGTCTTCAAGTCTAGTACTCTGCCTTTATGTAATGATCAATGGTTGATGCTTCGGGGGAAGGCAAAAAACCACACAATATGCATCTAGTTAATTCTGCAATGCTGAACATGGAGATTGAGGGAGAAATTCCCTCCTGGTCCCTGGAGATGCTCAGCAAACACAAGGAATCAGGAGAGTTAGTTACCATTTTCTAGCATGTGCCTACTATTAACAGCCATAAGATTATCTACCCTACTTTAAAAGTCTAGCCACGGTATTTAAACAATTTCTCATAATACTGAACACCAGAGGCTGGCTACTCACTGGAAGAAATAGTATTTTCTCTGTGTATTATCTGTCTAAAGTTGTTAATTTAATGGAATTAATTGTTATTCTCAAAGTAACGTGAACGTGACTGAAAAGTTTCCCCTATCGACTCCATAATTTCGCATGTTTCAATTGAGCATATACCAGTTCTGGCAGATCGGGGGGGGCGGGGGAGGTGTATAAGCCAAAGGAGCTACAGAAATAGACTTTTCTTACATTTGTTTTGCAGCAGACAATAGCATACAGTTCCTGTACTGATAAAAAGTCAGCCTGATGTTTATTCTAATTTGCCTTCTTCTAAACAATGCAATATTCTCTTGTACAAAACACGCTGGTTGGTCTATTTTGCTTACAGAACAGGTATTCCGAATCCTATCGGATGCATTTATGGTGGCTCACTATTAGCCCACGGTGTCATTGTCTGCCACTGTACGAACTCTGTGTCCTGAAGTTTCATGGAAAGTATTACACGTAAGGTAAAGTGAACATTCACTTTTGCTCCACTCTGCATTAGATTTTATGGGTCCATTTGGAAATAGTGAAAAAGTTTCAGTGTAATACTGGTGGTATGCTGTACACTCACCAGTGCTGGATAGGAGGGATATCCACTGCATTTGGCCCACACTACTTTTAGAGGCTCAAGAACAGATGTTGCAGCATCAGTTGAAATCCACATACTGCTATGTCCAACTTCTAAGAAAAACCATAATTAAATATTAGTAGTGTAAAGATTCAGAGCTTGGGTTACCCCTCTGCAACTCTTCACTATGGGCCATTTTATCAGCCCCTATCTCACCATAATTATTATTGTTAATACTCTGCACCCACACAGCATCTTTCATCTCAGGATATCAAAGTACATTAAATCATAAGACCCACAACATTTCTGTGAGGTATGCTAGTATGTTACAGATGGATTAACTAAAACGCAGAAGGATAAAGGCCAAGATTTTCACAGGTGACTAGCTTATAGGTGCCTCACTGTCTTAAAGGGCTATGTTTTCAGAAGGTGGGTGCTCAGCACGTTCTGATAATCAGACATCTTTAGCTTGTCTTAAATTGGGCACCCAAAATCACTAGTTACTTCTCAAAATCTACTTGCCCAGTGTCACCCAACAAGTTAGTGGCTATTGTGATTTACAACTTTGGATCTTCAAATCTCAGGTATAAATTAACCCGTTGGAACACTGAGAAGCATGGTTGAGATTTGATAATTTAGGACCACTGTTCTGCCATTTACATGGCATACCAGCCTTTTGATTTGCAAGAGAGCAAACTCAGGAGTAGATCCTCTCCGCTCTTCTTCTCCTCAGCTTTTTTCATCCTCCATTGATCCCTTCTGTCTCGCCTTTCCCTGGGGCAGCTGTCAAAACTCCTTTCTCTACTACCAAAGCCCGGAACATGTTACAGGACAGTATAAAGTTGCTGCAGTGCTTATTTCTCCACAGAAGGCAGCACAGTAAGCCTCTGAGGCTGAATAAAGCTACCTCCATCTGTTCTCTCAGTTCCCCTTCTCCTCCTTGGTAACCACCACTGGAAGGAAGGAAAACACAAACTGACTGCAGGACACAAGGCAGTCACAGATCAGAGAGAAGATGTGGCCCATAAAGATCTACAGGGATGAGGGTGGGAACAGAGAATGGGGAGCGAGGGACCCACATATCTCTTTTGTGGGGAAGTAGGATGGGGCTCAGAATACTAGAAGGAAATTAAGAGGCTCAGAGCTCCAGGGATGGTTGAGACCCTGATGGTTGTAGCAGATGAAACTCTGGCAAGAGCACCAAAAAAAATTATGAGAAATTACAGTCATTTTCAATTTTCAGGTAATAGGGCCATACTGAATAGAAGAATTTTTTTTACATGTGAAGGAAAAATACATTCTTCGGATTTGAAATGGGTAATGCTTCTAGTGAAAACAACAACAAGAACATGTTTCCCACCCAGTACAGATCAAAAAGGTTGTTGTAAAATTCCTAAGGATTGTGGTTTATTTTCCGAGTACTAGAAGTACTCAGGAGATGCTGTAGAAAGTCAGAGAATAATATATACTTTAGCACAGAAAAGTTGTAATAGTTTTCTTGAACAAAATTTTCAAACGTGGGCATCTAAATCCATTATATTTCATTTTCAGAGGTGTGGACACTCAGTACTTACTCAAATAAGTGGCCTGATTTTTTGGAACTAACTTTTGGCACTCAAATTTGTAAACACTGACTCTACTGATAAAAATCTCCCTGTCATCTACTCATCACCACATCATGGCCAAGATGTCAGAAGTTTTAAAGCACAAAGAGCACAACTGTGAAATATGATTTATTACAGTATCAATGTAAGCAAAAAAAGCAGAACCCAAGACAGTTTTCCCAGCAGTTTTAAAGGCCTGATCCAAAGCCCACTGAAGTCAATGGGAGTCTCACCACTGACTTCAAAAGGGCTTTGGTTCAGGCCTTTGATCAAGAGGATTGCATTATACTGATTTATTCTTGATGGCACAATTCTACTTTTTAATACTAAACTGTTCAGCCTTCGGGGAAAATAAAAAATCTTCTCATTTATTTTCTTCATATGTAACTTCTGTAGATTTTTTTGAGACATGAGAAAAAGAAGTATTAAGAAAATTTTATACAATCTAACACTTCCTTTATCAAAACCATACAATATTCTTCAATACATAAGTGACAAGGGAACAATAAGGACAGACTTACATCTTAAGGTTCTGATGATATCAAACTACCCTTTTAAGAGCTTGGTTAAGGAAAGAAGATATTCAAGAATATTACGGAAAGAGCTGTGCTAATTCCAAGTGAAGAATTTTGGCAAGATCTCAAATCTAACAACATTGTCAACAATCATTTTCAGCATGATTGACAAATAAACTGGTTTAGGTACATTCTCTATTGCTCTGATCTCTTAATTCCATCTTGAGCTTCATTAGGATCCAAAATACTACAGATACAGGAACTAGATGTATTTAAACTTATGTGAAGAACAGTACAGGATCTTTATTTAGAATAAGCTAACACAAGGTAAACAATAAAGAAACTTACATTTCTCTCAGCTGCAAAGTCAACATAAAAGAAAAGGAAATGATTTAAAGCTAAGAAGGTGTATATGCTTTTGTTGCATGCATGTGGAATGTGGCAAGTCTCCCACAGAGAGAATTCTCAAGACGTGACCAACAGTGAAATCTCATGGATAACACTTCCTTTAATAAGCACTTACCTACTTTGGTGACGGGGATGCTATACAAAAATGCACAGTCAGTAATTTTCTCTTACCACAAGAAAAAATTCTGATTACCCCAGTCTAGAAGAGGAACTGCATTTATTCCTGTTGTGCTAATAGTCATGGCAGCTTACACTGCTAGAAAATCTGAAATCTGTTGTCAAAAGATGTAAATAAAAATACTCCTGTGAACTGAAAAAAAAAACAGGGAGAGTCTGAAGGGTCCTACAGCTATGGTTGAGACAGATACCAGCTTTGATTTATAACTTCAAACTTGGTATCTGCACAGTCCTAAATGAGGAATTCAAGTTTTGTAAAGTTTAAACCAACTCATTAATAATGAATTTGGAGGTTAATTTTAAAATATAACATACTATATAGTCACAAACCATTTGCATGTTCTAGGTGGAGCTGGTGGCACCACTGATTATTAAGGTTACTCGACACATCCCATTATTAGACCCTATTTTCAGTTCATTATAACTTTGCCAAACTTAAGAACATAAGAACAGCCATACTGGGTCAGACCAATTGTCCATCTAGCCCAGTATCCTGTCTTCCGACAGTGGCCAATGCCAGGTGATTCAGTGGGAATGAGCAGAACAGGTAATCATCAAGTGATCCCATCCCGCCATCCACTCCCAGCTTCTGGCAAACAGGCTAGGGACACTTACACGGTGTTGGATCCCTAACCATCCTGGCTAATAGCCATTCATGGACTTATCCTCCATGAATTTATCTATTTTCTTTTTGAACCCTGTTATAGTTTTGGCCTTCACAACATTCCCTGGCAAAGAGTTCCACAGTTGACTATGTTGTGTGAAGTATTACCTCCTTTTGTTTTACATCTGCTGCATATTAATTTCATTGGGTGACCCCTAGTTCTTGTGTTATTTGAAGGAGTAAACAGCATTTCCTTAATCACTTCTCCATAACAGTCAAGATTTTAATAGACCACTATCATATGCCTTACTCGTCTCTTTTCCAACCTGAAAAGTCTCACTCTTTTTAATCTCTCCATACCCCTAATCATTTTTGTTGCCCTTCTCTGTACCTTTCCCAATTCCAAAACAACTTTTTTGAGATGGGACGACCAGATCCACATGCAGTATTCAACATGTGGGCATACCATGGATTTATATAGAGGTATTATATTTTCTGTCTCATGATCTATCCCTTTCCTAATGGTTCTTAACATTGTTGGTTTTTGTTTTTTTGTTGTTTTTTCTTGGACTGCCACTGTGTTTTAAGCGACTAGGCTGAAATTCTACATGCCGCATATCTTCCTCAGGCTGAATTTTTTTTTGAAAGTTTCAGTTAAAATGGTTTAGCCATTTCTGAGACAAAGGCTAGGGAAAAATACATAGTTTTGCTTATGTTAAAATATTCTTGGTGACCTTGTCTTTGAAAAGCTCTATTACTGTGGCACAAGGACTCTAAATTTGACAGGAAGTGGCCTTGATGTCAGGAATGTGCCTTTTGCTGTCCCAGTGAAAATCCACCCACATTTAGCCAAGTTACAAACCTCTGTGGAAAAAACCCACAGTTTGCCCATGCTCAGTAGGGACTTTAATTTAAGCAGCTAAAAATCTCCTTAGAGTCAGTACTCACTAAGCATGCTTGAACCTCTCTCAGTTCTTAGTGGAGACCTGACTCTCCCGTGCTTTCAGTGACTTCCCGTGGCACGCAGGCAGCGCAGAGGAAGCTGAATGATTCGAATGCAGAGGAGCCAAAAAGCTGAATTGGGAGGAATGGATGGGGAAGGACTGGGTCTAGGAATCTGAGGGTGGGTGTTGGAAGGCAAGGACAAGGAGCCAAGTGGGGAAGACTGAGACTGGATGAGAAACCTGGGGAGGAAGACTAGGGATATGTTTTCATTACCCGTCGGATCGGTGGGCAGCGATTGATCCAGCAGGGATTGATTTATCGTGTCTAGTCTAGATGCGATAAATCAACCCCCAAGCGCTCTCCCGTCGACTCCTGTACTTCAGCGCTGTGAGAGGAGCAGGCAGGTCACCGGGGGAGCGGTAGCAGTCGACTCACTGCGGTGAAGACACCATGGTAAGTTGATCTAAGTACATTGACTTCAGGTACGTTATTCACGTAGCTGAAGTTGCGTAACTTAGATTGACACCCCCCCCCCCAAACCCCCCAGTGTAGACCAGGGCTAGGACTGGAAGGCAGTGTGGTGGTGAGACAGAGAGAGATAAATCAGATGAGGAGCCAGGAAGTGGGGGGGATTAGACTGTCTGAGCAAGGAGATGGGGATAAGGAGTTGAGATAGGAGAGTGGGAACTGGGACTGGGTAAGCAAGGAGATTGGGACTGGGATGAGAAGATAAAGGAGTGTAGCCTGGGACTGGGTAGGCAAAGAAAAAGGGACTGGGAAAAGGAACTGTGAGTGGGGAAGGGAGACAGGAGGAGGACTGGGAGAGGTTGGAGGAAATGGGGTAGAAGGGATCAAGTTTGTGAGAATGGGCTAAAGAGTCTGTGTTCACTAGAGCATACAGCCCTCCAGAGCCTGGAATGCAACCCAAGATTCCGAGAGTCTCACCATTTCTCTGCTGTCACCAAATAACTATGAAATCCACTGGCAAAGTGTGTCCCATCCCCCTCTAGTGTGGGTCCACATAAAGGAAGACAACCCATTACTGCAATCAGTTACTCTGTTAGCTCAAGTGGAAGCAGTCTGGGTGATGGAGTTTAAGATTCCAATCCTGCTGATGAACAACGCTATCAATGATATCAATATGATGCCACATGATGGAATTTCTCAGTTTGCTTTTTAAAAACCTAGGATATACACACACATAAAACAATGTTAACAGAACATTATTAAGACTGCAAAGTCAGGCAAAAGCTTGGAAATCCAAGAATTAAGATTGCTTGTGCAACTTGAGTTCAGTCCTTTTGTGTGCATGCATGGAATAGGCATTAATTAACATGATCACAAACAATTTTTTTCCACATTATTCTGCCTTATTCAGTGCACAGGATGGATCTGCTCCGAGTATGAATCAGGTTTGTGTAGCAAAGGAGGCTGTTGTATGTAGGACTGCTGTCTCATTTGTTGCAGAAGTTAGGTGGTGCACCTACTGTGGTTCCAGGAAAACAATAGGCCTAAGCCTGCCAACAGCTAAAGACCCTTTATCTTAGCCAGGAGGGGAGAGAGGGGCAGTAAACCTGGGCTACAAGTGAATACTGGGGACAACAAATGAAAAAACAGGGATGGGAGTGAAAGTCACAGGGCAAAAATCAGGTAACTGGAAGGGAATACTGGGCAGAACACCCCTGACAGCACCCACTGCTCCTCAAAGGTATCTGAGGAGTCAGTGGACACCACCCAGGGGAACTCTGCTTTGAGGAGTGACAGAACAAGGTAAAGAAAATAGAATATTCCACTGTCCAACTTCCTCTTCCTGGTATGATGTACACATGTCTTGGCCAGCAACAGGAGGAGTCTGATAAGGAGGTCCTGCAACTTTGTGGGGTATGGACAGGTGTCCCAGGATCAGGAGGTGCAGGGAGAAGTGCAACCAGAACCTCAGTAAGAGGTTCTACAGGAGCTGGAAGAGGGGCTACAACTTGACACACTCTATGCAGATGAGTGCCAGCTCTCCCTCTTTCTGCAGATGGAAAGGCAGATAGTGAATGAGGCAGAGGACTGCAAAGAAGAGAAAGGATGGTTAAGGCAGTCGAATGCTTCCCTAGAGAATGGGATTCCATCCTTGCCTCTGCTACAGAGTTCCTATGATATGCTGCGCAAGTCACTTCAACCCAACTTTTCATTTTCTGGGTGCCTAACTTGATACCCTGGGGCCTGATTTGCAGAAGTAATGAGCACTCTCAGCTGCAACTGAAGTAAGAGCAGTGCTTTTAGCATATAAAGTGCTAAATAATACTCAGTACTGTGAAAAATCTGTTTTCTAGTCATCTCAAATTGGATACCCAAAATTAGTGGATACTTGCCCTTTATCTTTCTGTTCCCTTAATCTATAAAATGTGGATGACACCATCCTCTCACCTCAGAGACGTCTGAAAATACATTTATTCAATGTTTGTGAAGAACTCATAGTACTGTGATGAGTGACATAGAGAAGCCCTTGAGGAAATGAGAAATTCTGTCTTCAGAGCAGGGTTTGAATATGCTGCAGTGAATAAGGCATGAGGCCACACACTGAATAATGAGGAAAATATAAAATATTGAATAGCTGCTCGTTTATTGAGTGCTACCTGTCCTGTCCATTGAATGAGGCAGGAGTTCTGTCAAAAAAAATAGTAAGTGAACGTGTTATTAAAGACGCAGACACAATGGGTCAAATTAAGGTTGCGCAAGCAGTCTTAATTCTGGCACTTCCTAACTTTACTTGGCAACCTTAATAATGTTCTCCTAGAATAGTTTGTGTGTAATATATAAATAAATTTGCAAAACTCAACACAACCTTAACTACATAGCCATGATAAGTGCCCTCCATAATATATATACACACATACAGTGCACTCCTTTTATAAGAATCACATCCATTTCAGATGATTTGATTCTTATAAGGCATTGATTCTTACAAGTGGAGTATAGGAATGATGATCTCAGTGGCTTTGATCACTATATGCAGCTGATTCTTTTATAAATTGAATGCACTGGTATTCTACATTCAAGCAGACGGTACACTTAAAGTTTATTTTGATTTCAGAAAGAGTAAATGTTTCAAAGGTATTCCCTTTACTCAAGGTGAGGGATACTACTAGACTTGGTAAAATCTCTAGAATCAGAATGTACTTTAATTGGGTCCATAATCTACTTCCATCATCTGTGTGCGTGTTGTATGCGTACACTGAAATACGCCACTTTTTATTACAGTTACACATATAGATCAATGTAAAAAGACTAGAATTTCAGCATTTCAAAATACTGTACTGGGGGTTTTGAGGTAGCACTTGAGGTTCATTTTACTCCATGTACTACATACTCTAGGCAGTTCTGAAGCTGTTAAAACAACATAAGCTATTTTAAAAAAAATACAATGAATGCACTTTGCCTCCATTAAGGTTTCTGTGGGAGCCATTATTTCTATTTTGTGCATTTAGGTCAGCATTTGCACAAGTGACACTGGATGTCCAACTTGAGATGCCTTAAACGTATCCCATTTTCAGAAAAAGATGAGCACAAACCCTCTGAAAAATCAGGACCGGGAAGGCACCACAGTTCTGGCCAAAAATGAGACATGCCAAAATCGTTGGTCACTTTTGAAAACCTCGGTCCTACATAATGAAAGTTAAAATATAACTTTTTTGTACTGAACTGTAGCATACAGAGGGTAGTCAAACCATGGCCTCAGAGTTAACTTTTGTTGTAATTCATTGGATGGAAACTGGACATTTCACTACGTCTCCCTCTCTATCTAGCTTCCATAAGGTACCAAAGACACCGATTGGTAAAGGGTGTTGAAATCACCTCATGTCAGAGAAAATGCAGCAATAAATACCAATTCAGTACTTCCTCTGGCTCTATTAAACGGCATTTGCCTCCGAGTTATTTCAGCACAGCGAACCAGCACATTAGAACAGAGACAGGAGGAGGAGCAAGCAACACCCAACTAAGAGCTGGGTGTGAAGGGAAGAGAGCAAGTGAAAAAACTCAAAAATGAAAAAATTAAATGTAGAACTGCCCACCAGTAGCTGTTGAAGTAGAGAAGCTCTGGGGATGAGGGAGGAAGAGATGGAAAGGAAAGGATAAGCCATGTAATAACATGAAAAATAAGGAAACTGATGAAGAAAAAATTATACATCCATTTTTCACAACCTATTATACCTGTTAGATGTTTATGCTATCACCAGACCTATTATTTCCTCAGACTACTGAGTTATTTTGTTCTGCATGAATTTGTTGAACATATAAATCTGTAAAACTCTAATACGTGTGAAATACCATTCTGCCATCAAGTATAGCAAATGCCATTAAGCCCCCCAATCAAATAATTAAAGTAATGGAACATTACTTACAGCTTGTGCTACAATTCTGTCTTTTCACTTCACTTATTTATGTGGTTTTCACCATGACACAAGTTTATATAAAAATAAGCACATCAAAGAGAGACAGATGCAAATATTAATTAATTATGCACTGAATATTTAATATGCCTGATGATGGAATACAATTGTAGATAAGATTTTGAACCAAACTGTGCTTGCATTACTTGAGTAGCCTTATTTACTTCAAAGAGACTAATTTCTTTTAAAAACATATTTAAAAGTTAAATAGTCCAAAACAAAATTAGTAAGTTTCTATTGGTCAGATTCCTACACCCTAACTTTAGGAACAGTGCCAGTGAAATCAACAGGTTACTTGTTGAGTGAGATACTATATAATGCAAATAAAGATGTCAAAATCTGGTCTTAAGCAGCTTGGCAAAATACAGACTTATAATAGTGTATGTTAGGATACAGATATTCAGGCCTGTCTGTAAAGGCCTACACTCTAAGAATATAGGTGTGTTCTTATCACTTAGCTAGTTATAGAGGTATAAAAGAAAGAATCGAAATCACTGTCCGCCAGTGTAAGGTCCTTCTCTTACTAAGATAGTCTGAGGCCCTGTGGTTAGGCTAAGATATTTGACTAAGCAGCAGAGGCAGCCATAAGCTAGGAAGCGAATGGTCACATCCTCACATTCCAAACTAGTCACATTGAGATAAGGTGCTATTGGGCTGTTAGGAATACAATCCTGTCCTGATAATGCCTATCGCCTCCAGAGAAAGGGAAGTGCCTAGAAGATGTAAAAGGAAACTTAGTTTGATAGCATCCTGTCTGGCAAGAACTCACTTATCAATAGGTGGGATGTAAAATCCTCATTTCTTTGTTGTTCTATCACTGTAGTCCCAATTTCCCTATTGTTTATCTGTATAATCTCTGTCTGCTTCTGTGATTGTTTCTATCTGCTGTAGAATTAATTTTGCTGGGTGTAAACTAATTAAGGTGGTGGGATATAATTGGTTAAATAATCATGTTACAATATGTTAGGATTGGCTAGTTAAATTTCAGTAAAATGATTGGTTAAGGTATAGCTAAGCAGAACTCAAGTTTTACTATATAGTCTGCAATCAATCAGGAAGTGAGTGGGTGGGTGGGGGAAATGGGAACAAGGAATGGGGGTGGGGAATTGGAATCATGTTTTGCAAAGGGCAGAAATGGGAACAGGGACACAGGTAAGGCTCTGTGGTGTCAGAGCTGTGAAGGAGGACACTAAGGAAGGAAACTGGAATCATGCTTGCTGGAAGTTCACCCCAATAAACATCGAATTGTCTGCACCTTTGGACTTCGGGTATTGTTGCTCTCTGTTCATATGAGAAGGACCAGGGAAATAAGTGGTTAAAGGAATAAGCCCCCTAACAATGTACTTTAAGAATACAATTATTATAGTTACCAGCTGCAATTCTTGCTGCTTTTGCGTAGTTTCCATTTTCAATACATGATATCAACTCACTTCGGTCTTCCAAGGTGTGTCTTCGTATAAGCGCTGGTTTGCCTTTACCACACTTTGGCAAGCTAAAACTGCAGAGGTATAAATATTAAATGTTACTGGAAAACTAGTATGCTCACTTCCCTCCACTCCCTTCTGTCAAAATGTTTGGAATTTAAGATATAGTACTCATATGTCACTACAGTTACCTGAAGGTGAGTAGTAAATTCTACTGTATTTCACAGAATGACTGCACCCACCTTAAGCGGGGAGGGCCGTTGTCCAGCTTGCTGGCAGATGGGAAATCGCGCTTTATGGGCAGAGGGTGGGAGAGTGGCTCAGAGGCTGCTGCAAAAGAGCACTCATCCTCCAGGGATTGGAAAGGCTGGGGAGTTGAAAAGGGGCAAGCCTAGTGGGAGAATACCCTTTTCCACAGACCAGGTGGAGCAGCACCCACCTTCCCGTCTCTTGGAGGTGGCAAATACCAGGTTTGGTCAGGACCTGCTTTGGGCATTGCACTAGCCGCTCCTTTCTAGAGGGGCTGGGAAGAAATTCTTCCCTACCACCAGATTGGCCTAGGTGGAGTAGGGGGTTTTTCACCTTCCTCACAGCGGTTCAGGAAGAACTTTATTATGGTGAGTAGGAACAGGAGTTAGGTTCTGATGCCGCAACTCATTATGTAAGTGTGGGGCAGGTGTCCAGTGCAGGAATCCCTTCCTTATTGAGTACAATGACCAGATAAATGGGTTGATAAAGGACTTAAAAAGGAGGTGTTTGTTAAAGGGGAGGAGGGGGTTTGGGGCTCCTATGACTGGCATGGCAGGAGCCAACCCCTCTTCCTTATAGCCCACCTTAACCCTCATTCCGGGGGGTGGGGATGGTAAGGTCTCAGCAATGGATTGGCTGGAGGACCTGGATGGAAGGGGGCTGGCAGAAGCCTCCCAGGTACATATTGAGTGATCATGGAGTTACCTGCACTGTACACTTTTATCTGCCAGGTAGTCCTCAACATTTAATAATAAGGTTGCAGCCTGATTAAAACCACATCAAGTCTTTTCTTTCAGTATAGCCAGACAACATGTACAAATTGATTGATTCAACTTGTACTGATAAGCAAAAGATCTAACTAGAGAATAAGAATTCCTTCTCCTCCACCCTCCCAAAAAGTGATGTTCAGAAACATCATTGAACTATAGATATTTTCCCATGGATAAATTTTGCACACTCCTGTATTTTCACTTTAAAAGATTTAAGTAATTTGACCAGAAATTATTTTGCACTGCATTCACAATACATCACTCATCCTCAAGGAATGCAATATGAAATTTTCCTTATGCTATGCAAATCAAATTTTGGGGCATGAATATGTTAATGCTAACCTCTTAAGCAGTCCAACATTGATGGTGAATTTAAGAGTACACAGCAGAAAAATGGTTACTTATTAAAGCAACTCTGGTTCTTCCCGATGACTGCCATATCAAGTCACATTCACGGGAGATATGCACCATTGGTGAACAAGCCTGGAACTTTCAAGCAAGCTTTCAAGACTCAAGTGAAGCCCCACGTTCACCCACCCTACCCTCTTGCTCTAGGACATAAGTGCACAAATGTGGGTGCAGCCCAACTGCCCTTTCATTTCTTTTTTCTTATTCAGGAACCCTTAACAAGAGATTCGTTTCTCACCTTCCCTCCTTTTTTGGAGAGTGGATTCATATGGACAACCATTCAAGAAATGCAATTAAGAACTATATCACTGCATGAATTACTCCCTGGTTCTATGGCCATGGAATTTGCTATGTAATTCACCCCCTGCTGCAAAACTGGGCTCCAGAATATATGCCTTCATTAATAGGGGGGAAAAAAAGTTTCTAGCCCTAATGGTTGTGATAACCTACAAAACATGAATTTCGTGTAAACTGAAGCAGTGTTGGGTTCTGATTTTGCAGAAAGCCTGAAATGATTTCAAAAGATATGAACCTCAATGTTGTGTTAATTTTGAAACCTAAAAATGAGAATTTAAACATTTTTTTTAAAACCAGACATGTATGTGTTGTTGCTCTAGTTTAGGGCATACTTTTTAGTTTGCTGGTGCATGATTATAGTTCTTTATTTAAAACTTAAAAATTTTAAAAGGGCAAAAAAAATAGTCAGATTTTTACCTTGAATTACATAAAAAGCTGTTACTGGAGGATATGCTAGATTCGGATGCACAGCGGCGACGAGGTTCAACTTTTCTTCCTGGAGCATCATCTAACTCTCTCTCTTTACTTCCATCTCCAAAACCATTTGATAGGCCTGTAATGTAAACGAGTGGTATACATTACACCGAATTTTAAACTACATTTTGTTTTTATACAAGTCTATATACATATGTTTACATAATTTTTGTTCCGCATCTGGTAAGTGACTGTGATGTGAGTAAAAGAAAAAATAAAATGTTTCATTTTCAAAAATGAAAGATCAGGCAAAGTTTGTGTAGTCCAGATGTTAAGAAACAGGATGTTAATTTCAGGTAACAGGAAAAAGATAAAGATTATATTATAAGATATGCACAATGGCACATCAAAAAATATTCCCCATATGTCATACTTCAATAAATACTGCGTTGGATAGTTAATCTTGAGTGCATGGTTGGAACCAAGGAACAAAAAAAGTGTTACAAAATTTGCAGACTCTTAAAAATAAAAATATCAACAGAAAACTCATCTTTATAAAAGTTTAATGTACTTAAAATCTGTAAATTGCAAGACAGGAAGTACTGAAAATAGCCATTCAATGCTCAAAGTAACCAGCAGTGGTGATTAATTAAGGGCCGTATCCAATGTCCACTGAGTCAAAGGGAATCTTTCCACTATAATCAGGTCCTGAAAACCTATTTCAGAATAATGTATTTCAACAAGAATCCAGATTTAAGACTATTAAGAGACTTAATCCAGACTTAAGACTATTAATATTTCGTCTACTTCTCTATCAAAATGAATAATGTAAATTCAGTTGATGTCTGTTGTCTTGTCACCATAGTTTGTGTGTTTTGTTTCAGCCTTCTGATGAGGAAAACATAGTAGAAAACACATAGAATGCTCAAGCTACCAATCTGAGACTTTTATAACTGGGCCACCATAAATCTTGCATCTATTTGCTTATTCATACAGTCTGTATTTCTTAAGACTCTTCATTTGTCTGTGTTTAAACAGCATTCTTTACTTAAATAAAGTGTGTATCTGTATAGGATCCGATGAGAAATACATCTTTAAAAACTCTATATTTTAAACAGATGTGAGTCAAAGCAGACATAGGAAGAACATCAACAGAAATGGAGCAAATTAAGCTAAAGCAGAGGTCCCCAAACTCTGGGACGCACCCACCTAGGGAAGTTCAGGGAGGATCACCTTGCTCCATTCCTGGCCCCGGCTGAGGCTCCCCTCCTGCCCCTAGCTGTAGTCCCAGCCCCCAGCTGAAGCTCCACTCCCACCCCCAGCCCCAGGCTGAGGCTCTGCTCCCACCCCCAACCTCAGCCCCCTTACCCCTGTCTGTGGGCTCTCTTCCCAGAGCTGTGTCCCTGCTCCTGTGCTCAGCTCCGGGGGGATAAGAGGTCATGGACAGGGGTAAAAGGGGGGAGGGGAGGAGGAACATGATGTAAAAAGTTTAGGGACCAGTGAGCTAAAGGAATCCATGTTCAGCTAGCTGCTATAGGCCTTGAGATCCTCTAGAATTATCTAATTTTATTCTTAAGTAGGACTTCTGAGAACACACTTATTTTCTTGACATACAGTATGATGTACATTCAAATTTTTTATTTAAATCACATGTGCAAAGTTGTGACATTCTGTACTTTTAAATCGAAACTGTAAAAAACAGCCATTCTACATGCTATAAAGGATATCGGAACCCTCATTTCCATAGGCAGAAGTTTCTAAAGACGTTTCTCAAGTCCTCTGTCTTATTTAATTTTCTAATTTGCATTAGGAGATTCTTGTGTATTTTGGAAGTGCAACAAAATTGACAGGAAAATTATAAAAAGTAGTAAGTACAAAAAAAACGTATTACATACCGCACGGTAGTAAAGACAAAGGCTGATCACATGTAGAGTTACTTGTAACTTTACCACATTCTAATTCATTTAACTACTAACTAGAAATGCCACTTCCCAAGCCCTCACAAAGTCACTGACTAATCAAATCTTTTTATATTAACGCACTATTTTATTTGATACTATCCAACCCTATCCTATGGTGTTTGCACACAGAAGCTCTTTTCAGCATAATTCTTGAAACCTCTATGTATCAAAGTATTTAGATTTGTATAGACAATGTAAAAACAAGCACCTATCCAATGCTTTAAAAAACAGACTGTTATAGTCTGCTACCTTTATATTTAAAAGATGAACAAATTAAAAATGACAAGAAGAGATTACTTTTTCATTTTTCACTTTTCTATCATTCTTCCCATTCAGAAACTTCTAGTGTCTTTTGCAATTCTCCACTGGATCTGTCCTAGTAATAAAATATACAATTTTTTAATGTTCCTCAGTACAAAACTATGTACATGCTATGAGGAGGAGGAAGAGGAGAATAAAGTAATTATTTTATTAGTGTCATGAAGCCCTAAATTGTAAATCATTAATCAGCCCTTTATCATGCTCATTTTGATCATGTTTATTCTCAGCCAGTCAGTGCAGGTAGTTCCAGGAGATTAACCTTAATGTTGCTGAAAATTCCTTCAAAGCAAGAGTGATTTAAGAGGATGCCTATATGAAATGTTTTAAACAAAGGACATGAAGCCTTACTGAGAAAGACTAGTAATAGGTTTCCGCAGGTTATCCTTTCATTGTAGGATAGCTGTCAGCAGGTAGACAGACCTACTCTTAAATAAAGTCTTGCCAATTTGTTTGTTTTGCATCGTGGCCAGAAACCAGAAATATAAATTACACAATGATTAAGCTACTAAAGAAGCTAACAGATGTTGGCTCACATATCAATCCTAGTGCTGTGGGGTCAGGAGGTAAATCAGAGCTGTTTCCACAACTTAATTTATCAGAGTTCCTAGCCCTTTAATGAACAGAAAAGCAAGAGGAAATCTGTATAAGCACCCTTGCAAGGTTAGGGTAGCATAACATGCTACTGTATAATGTGGCTTAAATAAGTCTGGCCTATGTGGGATCTGTGCCACCTGCAGTTGGAACGGTACATTTTCATCTGCAGGGCCTTCCTAGGATAAAGAATTTGAGTGGGTTTCATTGTTTTTGACTTCACCAACGCAATATTTTTAACATTACATCTAGCAAACTTCCAATTGGGTCCAGGGCGGGTCTTTAACAAAAAGAAAACAAACCCAACACACATCACAATCGTTACTGTGTTAAGATCACTTTATGATTTTACATCCCGAGTCTTCAATTCCTGGCTGAAAGTTTCATAAAAGAAGACTGGTAGCTAAAGTCTAATTAGAGCTGTATTATGAGACAGACAGTTAGAATCCGCCCCCAGGACAAGATTAAAAGTCTGCTTGGGGCTTAGTAGTACAATATGATCTAAAAGAGTCAAATGAAGGGAAACTTTAGAAAGTGCAATAGCACTAATCACGAAACATTTAGCTATTTCTCTTTATCTTTTTGTGGAAAGTTCAAATTTAACTTATTTCATCTTCAGAAGCTGTTCACAGTAATCCCACTAAATGAATACCAAATCCTAAATGACAAAACTCCACAACTTCTACTTTTTAAAAGTAAAAAAAAAAAAAAAAAAAAAAAAGGCATTTTAAATAGAGACTGACTCATTAAATCTTTGAAACTAAAATGGCAAGATTGTTCTGTTATCTAGTTGCAAATCTGTATTGTGACTTCATAACTGGATGATAAAATTTCATCACCATAATTTTCTAAGTACTCCAAAGCATCGCTGACTTATAAAAAAGAAGTAAACATAGCAGTAACACCATATTTAAATTATATTAACTGGAACTGCTTGGCTAGACACCCATGAAGCTCCCTGTCCCAAGAACAGGAGGACATTCAGGGTATGTCTATACTGCAATAAAAAAAAATGCATTGCACTGAATCTCGGAACTCAGGTTATTTGAAGGGCTCAGGTTGAGGAGCTAAAAACTACAGTGTAGACGTTCTGGCTCAGGCTGGAGCCTGGGCTTTGATATCCTGCAAGGGAATTGGGTCCCAGAGCCTGGCCTCCACCCTAAGCCAGATCTACATTGCAATTTTAACCTAACAGCCCAAGCCAGGGTTAGCTGGCCCGGGCCAGCTGCAGGAGTGTTGTGGATCTTTCATTGCAGCGTAGACAGACTCCCAATCTCCTGCAAATATCAGGCAGTTACAAAATACATCAGGACAAGGCTCCCTCCTGTAAAGTACGCAGGAATCTTCTCTCAATCCATTTGAATCTTACAAGTTCAGCAAAATATCTTCATAGCAAGATCCACTAAAGACAAGACTTTGGGGGAATCTTAATTTTGCCCTCCTTCGCACTTTACAAGTCTGTAGAAAGTCTATTAAATCAGCTGTGTATGCTATGTACTCAATTTTCAAAATCCCACAACTTGTTCACATTAAAACTAGTTTTCTATGCAACAGGGAAAAGTCACACTTCGGTGGCAGCTATTTCCATCGACTACTTCAACTTTCAACCCCCAGTTACGTCAGCTATAGAACTATTCAAAGCAGTCTATACAATTTCTTTGTATTCGGACTTTCACAAAACAGAAAACAAAAACAAAAACTCCCCTCCACAAACGTTTTTAGGCAAAGACCAAGTACAAACCTTTTCAGCCTGATCGGTGAAATTTGCAGGAAGTTTTAAACAAGTGCAAACTGTTAGCAATTTTAAATGTAAGGGGTCACTACTGCTCCCACTCTTAATACATAAGACAGCTTTCTAGAGACTGTACAATTTATAAGCAACATTAGCTTCCATGTGAATCACAGAGTAATTATCAATGACATGGGTACTACAAAATACATTTTAAAAATTTACAAAACTACAGAACAGTTTCAAGCTAGAAATAAATAATGCAAATTGAATCCACAAGTTACTTCTGGGTTTCTCCAACGCTGATCATTTGGGGAAGCAAATTTTCAGCATTTATAATTATGAATACTGCAATTAAAAATATAACACTTCAAACAACGTAGAATCCTGTGTACATCTAAACATATTCAGTGAAGCAGGAGGAGGTAAAATGCAGAGATGACAGAGCAGAGGCAGGGACAAGGAAAGGTAAAATACAAAAGTTTGAAGGGCAATATATGTTAAGAATATACAAAATACTACCAAAAACATACAAGG